AAAGAGAAAAATATCTAAAAATTTCAAATGCCAGACTGGCTGCCACGCCCACTATTTGCTTCCGGGTACCATCTTAGTGCACCAAAAGCCCTGGCCCAGAGAGGACCAATTGAATCCCCAAATGGGTTAGTGCCATACAGGGATGTCTCTGGAACCCAACCATTTACAATCTAGAAATTTACATTTACAATCAAGGCTGTGTGAGCTCTCATGATATTTAAAATGAGTCATGGAAAATAAATTATCCAGCCTCTGCCCCTGGCAGGTAGGCTTGAATAGTGGTGGAAAGTTTTGAGCAAGACATAATGCCCCAAATGAGAGAGAGAACATTGGGGAAATTGTCTGCCATAGAGGCAGGGTGAGGACTAGGATGTGGGTGGTGGACAATGTGCACTGGTGGAGGGATGTTCCATCATTGTATGGCTGAATCTCAAACATGAAAGCTTTGTAACTCATGGTGATACAATTAAAAAGAAAAGCAATTTGGAGTTCATGCCCAATTCAATCAGCTTAACAAATAGCAGTGCTCCTACATTATTAAAAAAAAATTAAATACTTCTTCCTCTTAGGTCACAGTTTTGAGGGCCTTTCTGTCTTCTCCCTCCAATATTAGTTTCTTCCTGGTGGAAAGTGCATTCTGTGCCAGGGCAGAGGCTCTCCGCAGAGGCTCAGCACAGCCCTAGCAATGTATTTCTAACATCTTTCTTACTGTTTATTTATTATCTGAGGAGGTAGAGACCTCTAAATATTGTTCTGGTTTGTTAATATTAAACTGGTTTGCTAATATTCCCATGAACATGTTTCTAGCTTCTGCTGTTTAAAAATATTATTCACCTTAATCTGAAGCTCTAACACTTGTTACGGTAAAATTGCACACGAAATGAGTCCAGAAACTTATTTTCAAGCCTGATTTTTAATCTGAGGCAATGTTTTTAAAAGGAATCTTTAAAGTACTTGGGTTAATGAGTGTCTAATACTTAGTAACCCCTCAAAAAATATTTGTTGAATGAATGAGTGAATAAATTCCTTCCATTCTATTTCCTCATCCTGGAATAAAGGAGGTAAATAAAGTGAACTAGTACTTTTAAACAATACAAATAAAGTGAAAAATTTTGTAGGTTACCAGTTGAGTCTAAAAAAACTTATCCTTTTTATTTCTAAAACCATCCACCCATCCCTCAAGTGTCATTTTCTGGTAAGAGCCCATTTTTAAACCCTTATCTATAACTCAATATTGACTGATATCATGTTCAACACACAACAATATTCGAATCACAACCCTCAAGGTCAACTCTACAGGACAGTCACTGAAGCCCATTCCCTAAACTACCAAGACCTAGAATTCGCTAGAATTTACAACGAGACAAAATAGAATCTGAGTCTTGTAATGATGAATGGAATGTTTAGTTAGTCCTGGAGAAGAGTGGGTGATTTTAACCCAGAGCCTCTATGATAAACTAAACAGTCTCTAGAGATGTACGCTGTGAGGAGGCCTAATGCATGTGGCTCCAGCCTCAGCTTTGAGCAGGATGTCTGCAGCGAGGGCACTTATCCATCTAATAATACCCGGCCCCATCTCCTCCTCCACCAGTTCCCAGTAGGCCCCTTCCCAGGGCCCCAGCAGTCACTTTCCGCACAGCCTTGAGAGAATCAAACCATCACTTCCTTCCCTAAGAGTCAGCTGGCCAGACAGGGGCCAGAAAGCGGTTCCCTCCTCCTGCTGTGCTGAGTTTTACTTGGTAAGCATTTGGAATACTTTCTGTTAATAGCAGTGCAGTCAGCAATTTTTTTTTAAATAAAACAATTTAAAAGGCAAAGTAATTAAACAGAGAGAAAATCCAAGCCTAACCTTGAGTTTCAGAAAAAATGGATCCCGGTAAAATCCCATTATAATGATTACCTTTAATGATGTGACAGATACAAGAAACACCTCTGGGGAGGGGTGGAGCTGTATTTCACAATACAGCACTCTGTGAAACAAAAAGTCCACTAAGAGCTATTTGAGCTGTACACTGAGAAAGAAAAGTGAGCACAGTTTTCTGTGTAGTTATGAAATAGCAAATAGCAAGAACAATTCATATTTGTTTAGCTTTTACAGTTTTCTTAGGTTAATCTATTTAATATTTGTCATTCCCACTTCCTATCCTTCCTCAGTCCTGCAGGTTAGATTACCCAGAGCAGATTAAGCACAAGTTTTGGACCCAATCACTGGGGAATCTCAAACAATGAGAAATTATTTTTCAGAGTCTGCTAATAAAGCAAAACCAAAAGTAACTAATGAACTTATGTTGTGTTTTATGACTTTACTAAAGCACCATCTCTTTCGTGCTTGGGGCCTCTCTCTGAATATCTTAATCAGTCCTCAAAACCATCACAAAACCCATTAAAAAATACTGACAGAAGGAAGTCAATTTCATTTATTTAACTTAAATTTAAAGTCATGTATGGCCAATGGCTTCCATACTGAACAGTAAAGTTCTAGAAGGTGACAAAACTGTATACAATTTTATTCAATCTAGTTTCTAGCAACAAAAATTTTCTCATGTTCTGCCTTATTTCTATCAGTTTCTCCTGTATGAGTACCTTTACATATACCTGATGCTCACGAGTATTTGGCAACTGACTTTGGATTAATTTAGTTTGACCATCATCTGCAAAATAGAGGGCATTCACTGGAAATTCGCTGTCATTCACAGACCTACTCCCTTCAAACAGAGGTAACTGTGTTCTCCAAGGCCTTGCACTGAACTATCCTCTGCTAACTCATGTCACCTTTCCCTGAGGCTACAAAACCTGGCCCTAGCCCTGGCCCCTTTCCTGGATTCTGCAGATAGAAAAAGTAGTTTGGGGAGCCTTAATCCTTTATGCCAAATCTGAAGAAATCATACAGGGTTCTGACATACAAGCAGAGGGTTACACTGCATCAAAGGTCACTGGAAATGGGGGGTCCAAGGGCAGATGGGTCACAGCACTGTCTTGAGATGGGTGTTATAACAGGACTTCCTTTTACACTTTACCTTGACTATCCGGTGATCTCTAGAAAGGTTAGGATGGTACATGAGCCAAGAGGATACACAGGTAAGAGAATTTATGTCAAGTTCAGCTTGGCTTAGTGGCAAAACTAAGGAGTTTGACTAGAATCTTGGTGGTATGCAGATGTGAGACATGTGATAGAAACATTTCAGTTTCATTAAGGAAAACCCAAGGGATGCCCAGCCTGTACTGGCTACCTCACCTCAGCCAGGACAGTCTCATAGATAAGCCTGCACCCCTCTCCCACCACATCTGGAGGCACCAAACTGCCTCAGGGCTTATAACAGCTGGGACTGAAGAAGCAGTGCAGCGGGGAAGGCGCAGGCCTGGACGGCAGCCGAGTCAGCTCTGATGCCTGATACACACACGGTCCCGGAGCACTGACTCTCTCCCCAAGCCCGAGCTTTGTTGAGTGTGCACCAAAAACTCAAAACAACCCAAACAGGCCAGGGACAATTATGAATTGCTCAGGTTGTAAACCAATCGCATGGCCTATCTTGAGATAAATCAGTCCACCCAGGTATGGCTGAGGGATACTCAATAAGAACTCACCAAGTCACACAAATGACTCCACGGGAAGGGCCATTATCAGCCTCAGGCAGTGGTAACATAAAGGGGTAGTGGCAAAGAGGCCAAGAGCCCTTAGGAAAGTTTCCACCTCATAAGCTGGGGGTTTTGGGGGTGCCAGGGATCCAAATCTTGCTTGAGAGCCCTGGGGCCTCAACACTTTGCCAATATTGTTTCTCACATGGATGAGAATCTGGTTTGAGGTTTATCACAGAGCAATTATGTATGAACAGTTCAGAAAAGATTTGTAGATTTATGAAATGTCAGTACTCACAAGATATTAAAACTATTTAGAGGACAATCACGGTAAAGGTGTAATCACCCCTGAAATCTTGTTAAATCAGGGTGTAAGAGCATTCAAGAAGTTTCAGAAATGTGGCTTATAGGGCAATGTTATGGTCAACTGGCTTTTGATCTCGCATGTGAAAAATGTGTACTTTCATATATTGCAGGAGACCTTCTACTTCCTTCCTAAGTATTGGTCAAAAACACTAATTACTTGACTAATTAGACTGTGAAACTTCCCTTACAGATGATAAAAAAGAACTATTTTCACCCCACAAATTTAGTTGTGACATACCATCAAAAAAAGTAGGAATATTTCAATGGCTTTATTGCAGACAGCATGAACAATTTAACAATTATATAAAAGTACATTGAAGTTAATGAAAATAGTCTGTTCTTTCATAAGGATTGGGGGGGGGGCGGGCAGGAGGGGAGGTCTGAGGAACTTAGCACTGGGGGAGTGAAGGAGGAGGTTTGCCAAAGTGGGAATATCCATTACCACAGGAGTGGAAGCCAATAACCCCTTAGCCCACATAGGACACCAACATTCCAAATAGACCAGCAATCCTCATTGGATTTGTGAGTTTTAGGTTCTTTGTTTTCACTCAATCTGTTGTCACAGGCTGATGCAAATTGCTTTCATAGTCACCCTTTAATTCGATATATATATACTATTTCCGGGGCTGGAGCAATAGCACAGTGGGTAAGGCATTTGCCTTGCACGCGGCCGACCTGGGTTTGATTCCTCCATCCCTCTCGGAGAGCCTGGCAAGCTACCGAGAGTATCCTGCCTGCACAGCAGAGTCTGGCAAGCTCCCCGTGGTGTATTCGATGTGCAAAAATCAGTAACAAGTCTCGCAATGGAGACATTACTGGTGCTCGCTCAAGCAAATGGGAGGACAGTGCTACAGACAGTGCTACAGTATTTCAGAGTGCCATATCAGCACTCTGAATTTGTGGGGTGAAAATTAGTGCTACAAAAACTGAATCTAAGAACCTAGACTCTGCAACACATGTACACTAAACTGCATCAGAGGGTCAGTGGCCTATTAGTTCTAATACCTGTGCCCAGATCCGTTGAGAGAAGCCAGGACTTAACGTGGGGAGATACTCACCAGCATCCAGGCTGCCAGTAACTGCTGTCCAGCCCATGACAGGTGGGATGGCCCCAACCACAGCTCCGACCCACGTGTTGGCAATGCTGATCCTCTTCAGTGGCGTATAACAGCAAGTGTACAGAAAGATGTTGAAAGCCCCCAGGGCACCTGTGAGAGGATTCACCCCCCAGGTGAGAAGGGCAACTCCTGGAACAGCACAGCAAGTGGCAAAGGACACTGCCAGCAACGGGCTGAAAAGAGACGATACAGAGCAATTATTCCCTATGCAAACAGCATGCTGGCTGGAGCAGAGCTGAGGAAGGGGTCCTCTACCTCTAGCAGTGACCTATGAGGGAGTACTAGACTGGTATCTTTCCTATTAAAGGACATCCTTTTCATGAAGATTACAGTATGAAGGAACTGTGTTTGTTTGAACTCTGGCTGCTCCTCTTGATCTTGTCAACTGGGAATCAAGAAGTTGAGAGAGAGAGTGGAGGGGTCGGAGAGACGGTATAGCGGGTAGGGCTTTGCCTTAAGAGCAGCCATCCTGAGCTTGATCCCAAGCACCTCATACAGTCCTCAGCCCCGCCAGGACTGATTCCTGAGCACAGAGACAGGAATGCTCCTGAGAATTGCTGGGGGTGGCCCTCAAACAAACAAACTTTTAAAAAGAGAGAGTGACAGTAGAATGTTCTGGATTGTATTCCAGGTTCTGTCCCTTCTTAGTTGGATTTGTTCTTATGTGAGAGAGGTTACCAGTGAGAATCAACATTGACTGCTTTAAACATATTCTGTTTTACAGAAGTCACAGCTATAGATAAGTAAGTCAGACACAAGACCTCTGAACAAAACCTAGTATCTAATTCTAGAAATAGTTTTAACCATTTATTTATAGTTTATTTTAAAGCATTTCCTAATTGTCAATAGTGGATATCAACCGTGCAACAGAGAAAAATCTATTCCCAATTACAGACTCTACATTGGGTAGGTTTCATGCTAAGACTGAAATGCCAGGAGGCTGTCTTGCAGTGAGCGCACTTCCATTTTAGTTTTAATGCACTAACTTGTCTTATGAACACAGACTACTAAGGGCCTTATATAATGTTATATACTGTCACTGTCCTTCCGTTGTTCACTGATTTGCTTGAGCAGGCCCAGTAACGTCTCCATTTTGAGACTTGCTATTACTAAGTTTGGCATATTGAATACGTCACGGGTAGCTTACCAGGCTTTGCTGTGCGGGCGAGATATTCTCGGTAGCTTGCCGGGCTCTCCGAGAGGGGCGGAGGTATCGAACCTGGCTCGGCCGGGCTGGCTGCATGCAAGACAAACGCCCTACCTGCTGTGCTATCGCTCCAGCCCCTGTTATATAATTACATATAAATTGTCAAAACTGTATATTGGTAATGAAGATTATAAAGCTGATTCTTAATGGGCCCACTTAAAATTTTTTTTTATTCACTGTGGTTTCCAAAGTTGTTTTCAGGTAATCAATGAGTTTCAGGCATTCAATGTTCTAACTCCAGACTCAACACCAGTGTGAATGCCTCTTCATCAACACAAGGCTCCCTCCCTCTTCCCAACCTACTTTCTTATCAAACTTCCTCTATCATTTGACATTGGGTTGTTTTCATACTTTGGCTCTTGTGTACTGTAATGCAAACAGGTGATGTGTACATCTTTTTTTTTTTTAAATTAATGTCCTGGAGTATAAATGCAATGGCCACACTTTTAATTTTTTATGGGCCACATCAAGGGGTACTGACTCCTTGCTTTTTGCTCAGGATGCTAGCGTGCCCTCGGAACCCAGGAGGCCATATGTGGTGCCAGGGATGAAGGTCAGGTCAGTGCATGCAAGGCCTGCCTGCTGTACAGTTGCTCTGACTGGGTCTACTTTTTTTTTTTTTAAATGTGTAAATTATTTATTTCAAGGATTTTATATTTTGAATTGCAATTGACCATGGATAACTGGAGCCATAAGATACATAACCATGGATATAAGAACACTATAATAGGGAAATTTTATTAAAGATTTACAGATAAAGGAACTTGTTCTTTGGGTCTACTTTTTAAAAGTAGTCTTTAGAATTCTTGTAAAGGATTTTTTTTAAGTATTAAAAAATGCTTACTTACATGTTTATTTATTCTTTCTCTAGAAACAGAGTCAATTACTCTAGTTTGCTTTCTTACAGAAGCCATAATTCTGCTTCTGAGGAAATTGTCTGTGTAGCATTCAGAGATCCCACACAATTACATTCTATACAGTGCTCCCTGGGAAGCAGAGTTCCCAGTGGACAGCTTCTAGGGAGCAGAGCTACCAGTGTAGAAGAGCCCCGGTGTAGTGATCGCTAATTCCCCAAGAAACAGAAATACTGTGTGTATACTGCACACCCCTGAAATAACACTCTTCTACTCACAGGAATACAGTGTAATTTTAGCAGGTGAGAAAGCCTGTGTCTAGCAGATTCCTTCTTTAAGAAAAAATTTAACTTGCAGAAATTATAACCAGTTAGACCTCAGCAGGGCGAGCCCGTCCACTGAAAATATTAAGTCACCTCATTGCAGCACAAAAAGCAGAAGAAACCTTGCTGGACAACTCCGGGGAAATTCCACTCTGATAAATGTAAATGGGAGGGACTCTTTCCAATCCTACAGCCATGCTTCTCAGAAAAGGGAACCCAACAGCATAGCAGTTGTTTTTTGGGGCTATTTCCAGTCATGCTTGGACCTTACTCCTGGGTATGCACACAGGAATTTCTCCTTGGGGTTTCTGGAACTCCCCCAAGGAGCATATGAAATGCTGGGTATCAAAGCCTGGCTGGCCATGTGCAAGGCTAGCACCATCCCTGCTGTACAATCGCTCTAGCCCCAAGGCAGAGCAGTCTTTATAGAAAATGATACCTAGGTATATGTTATAAAAAAAACTTTTGACAGAACAATGAACCATGTCTGTCCCTCCACGAGCAGCTCTCCGGCATGGCCATGGCCCCAGACGCACACAGACCTAATTTGGAACCCAGCAGCTTTGGGCAGAAATGTGAATGGACTATGCATTAAGCTATGGCGCTGTGCCCATTCCCCCCACCCCCGCCTCGGGAGGGAAAGGGTGTCTGTCCCTTCCGCCTCCACCCCCATCCCACCCCCACTCCCCTGCAGCACAGTGGCCACTGCCTCAGAGCTTACTGGACAGCCAGGTATGAGCCAGCGGTGACAGGGCAACTGCGGCCTCATGGGATGGGGGGCAGAACCGGCACGTCCTTCCCGCCCCACTGAGGCCATGAGTTGCCCCCCACGAGCAGCTCTCCGGAACGGCCATGGCCCCAGAGGCATACAAATGAATCTCGTAACTATGAGGCTTTGGGCAGAAATCCCTCCAGACTTAATTAGTAAAATATCAGAAATCCAAAATCGCCTGGTGGCTATTGTGGCCACACAACATCATGTGGTCTTTATAACCAGCAGTGGAAAACAAATTATTTCACAATATCTTTTCAGGAAGTCTGATTGTTGGGGGAAAATTCCAAATAATAATGGTGCATCTTATGTCAAAATAATGAATGTACTCAAAGTAAAGAGAGAGTTGAGTGGAAATCATCTGCCTCACAGGCATTGGGAGGGGTGGGATGGGGGGGTATACTGGGGTTTTTGGTGGTGGAAAATATGCACTGGTGAAGGGATGCGTGTTTGATCACTGTATGACTGAGACTTAAACCTGAAAGCTTTGTAACTTTTCTCACTGTGATTCAATAAAATAAATTTAAAACAACAACAACAACAACAACAACAACAAAAACAATGAACCATCTTTGTAATATATATTCATTGTGGTCCCAGGAATTTCCATTCCTTATTCCTGGTTACTCCTTAAAATCTACCGATATCCTCAATCACATTAACTAGTCACACAGTAAAGAGGTTGGACTGGCTTAACAGCATCGGTACTTGGCTGGGATGAATTTCTCTCAACTTCTTCACAGTGACTGACCTCCTCTTTCTTTTCTCAGGGATCCAGATTCATTCTCGGCCCCAATTCCCTCAATGAATATCCTTTCCACTCACACAGTGGTGAGTGGCCTCTTTCCTTTCTGTAACTTTCTCCCATGGTTTACATTTTTTTTCCAGAGGGACCGGTCTTTCTGTGAACTTAGTCACTGCTGCGACCTCAGTGGCATTTTCCTTTGTGAGGGGTGGGGGTTGGGGGTTGACCTGGCTAATTCGGACTCAGTGAGATCCGAGGATGTTTTGGGGACCCCCAATCCCTGCCACTGCAGTCACCAGCTGGTCCAAGGCTCCTGAGACAGCCTGGCACCTACCCAAACTGCTCTAAGGATGAAGGGAGACTTTGTTTCCTTGTGGATAAGACACTGCACCCTAAGGTCCAGCCTGAGGGGCATAGAGGGTTGTCACAGCACAGCAGAGACCCTGTGTGAAGGTGACCCTTGCCATGAGGGTGAGCCCGGCCAGCAGAGTGGCAGGGAGACCTAGAGAAACACTGAGTGTGAAGGAGAATCCCCGAGGGCTTCTAGGGGGTCCCATGGGTGGCTCAGGTGAGGTAGGGAGGAGAGAGATGGTCACTTTCTCCTGACCCACCTCTGTCACCTGGGACCCAGGGTTACTGGGTACTTGTCTCCGCTTGCAGAAAGGAATTTCAGGAGTAGAAGAGCAGTGAAATTAGAGTTTTTATTTGGAGGTTTTGAAGGGAAGGAGGGAGAGAAAGTGGGAGAGTGGAGAGTAATGTGCTCAAGAGACAGCCCAGGCTTCTCCAAGGGTGGAGAGAGCCCCTACACATACATGAAAGCATGAAAGTAAGCATCTCAAGAGGGGAGATGTGGGTGACACACGTGCTCAGGCACCACATGTGCTCGGCCACGTGAGCGCAAAAAGCACGTGGGCTCGGGCAGCACATGCACCCATCTTTTACATTTTTAAAGGTAAATTCTCTACTTTTGATCTTATTTGTTCTCCTCCCTCTCCTGTGCTTTCTCTTCTCTGTACCTCCTACTTTCTGAATCCTCCAATCACTTTGGTCATGTTTCCCCCATGGTTCTACTATCCCCTCTTCAGACCTAAACACCCCAGTTAAGCAATCTATGTCTCTGTCTCTGTCAACCTTACTTTCTTCTTATTTCTCACCATCTACTGAAATGAATTTCCTTAAGGTAGTGATATACGCCATGTGACCTGGAGCATCCTAGTATTGCAGACAATATAATTTTCCAGATGAAAGATTAGGAAGATGTTCCTATGTTGTTATAGCTCAAATATGACCAGAAGGAGAATTTACATGGCTGAAAGCCTGAACATATTACAACTTGTTCTTTCAATAAGGTAGTTTATAGCATATAAGAATAGTCTCTCCCTCACCCCACTTTGGTACTCAAAAAGCTAACTTTATTTTGAATGAGAGAAATATGTGTCTCAAACATTTTTATTTTTCCTGAATTGAACCGTGTGTATGTGTGTGTGTGTGTATCTACATAAAGATTGTTGACTTCTCCAAGGTCTGTGGAAGTCAGCTGTATTCAAATTAGTGGTATGAAAAGCCCTTTTAGAACAGCGCATGAGTTTAATTTATGAAGTAGGCAATTTTACAGGGAAATATAGTTTTTGACCCTCTCTGATGGAATCACAAAAAATCATGAGCATTATTTCTGCCTAAATCAGTGTGCTCAGTTGCACAAATGAAAATTGTATGGATTGACAAGCCATGTCAAAAACTGAGGCTATTTACTCAATAGCCATGATCACTGTCAACACCTAGATACTTCAAAGTACCTATTTTCCCTCCCAAAGCGGAAAAGGCAAATTTTAGGGCTTTCTCATATTATGAGCAAAGGTGCTCTCTATAAAAACTCAGATATATATATATATGTATATATATATAATTTTTTAAATTAGTGAAACACCATGAGGTACAGTTGTGGACTTACAAACTTTTGTGCTTGGGTTTCAGTCATACAATGATTGAGTACCCAATTGATCCCCTCCACCAGTGCCCATTTTCCACCACCAATGATCCCACTAGCTTTCCCACCCCCACACCCCATCCCCCCCACCCCGCCTCTGTGGCAGGGCATTCCCTTTTGCTCCATCATTCCTCTAGGGTGTTGTAGTTTGCAATAGAGGTATTAAGTAGCCATTCTGTTTGGTCTATAGTCTACTTTCAGCACGCATCTCACATCCTGAGCGATTCCTCCAAACATCCTTTACTTGGTGTTCCCTTCTCTATCTGAGCTGCCTTTTCCCCCAACATGTGCTACCGGCTTCCAAGCCGTGGAGCAGACCTCCTGGTACTTATCTCAACTATTCTTGGGTGTTCAACTCCCATTCTGTTACTTTATATCCCCAACTGAGTGCAGTCTTTCTATGTCTGTCCCTCTCTTTCTGGCTCATTTCAATTAGCATGATACATTCCATGTAGAACCACTTGTATGTAAATTTCATGACTTCATCTTTTCTGACATGCTGCACAGAATTCCATTGTGTTGATGTACCAAAGTTTCTTTAACCAGTCATCTGTTCTCGGGCACTTGGGTTTTTTCCAAATTTTGCTATTGTGAACAGTGCAGCAATGAACATAGAAGTGCAGATGTCATTTTGACTGTACTTTTTTGCCAATCTGGGTTATATTCCCAGTATTGCTGGGCCAAATGGGAGCTCAATTTCTAATTTTTTGAGAATTGTCCATACTAAAACTCGGATATTTTAATTTTCTTGTACTACATTTTTTTTGGTGAAACTTAAGATTGTAAAACAAATGTATGTGCATTTCAGCAAACCTGAAACTATAAAAAAGTCTCACAAAATATTTAAAATTATTTAGAGAAACACTAGTTTCTAATTTGTAACCTTTTTACAATGATGTATCTATTACAATAAGTGAGAAAAATTTTGAGTTTACTCTATTTCAATATACTATTAATAATATCTGTATGCCATTAAGAATTATTTTATATCACTTTCATTAATAAGCACACAGTTATCTACTCTGTGAATACACAATTAATCCAATCTATATATTCTTTTGGGATAGCTGATATTTTTACCCTTTTTCTAAAAACAAATATTAGAATGTGTTGTTGTGATGAATACATTACAGGCTATTATTATTTTGGTTTTTGGGCCATACCCAGAGGTGCACAAGGCTTACTCCTGGCTCTGTGCTCAGGGATCAATCGCAGCGGTGCTCAGGGGACCATATAGGGTACCAGAGATCAAATCCATGTTGGCAAGTGCCCTACCAGCTGTACTACTGCTCTCGCTCTGTTATAGAATAACTGTTCACCATTTTGATTAGGATAAATTCTGAAGATAAACCAGATATGAGACCCGATGCTAAAAGAGATATGCACATTTTAGAGGATCTCTTGCCAGTCTGTACTCAAGAGGGTTTATACTAGTTTACATTCCCACTAGTAATGTTTGAGAGTCTATTTAGAAAATCTGTGCCGACAGTTGGTATGGCATTAACAATAAAGCAAAACAAAAAATGCCGACAATTGGTATGGCATTAACAACAAAGCAAAACAAAAAATAACAATGCGAAACAAGTTTATTGTTTATCCCCATCCATTTGACAGATGAGAAACTCAGACTCAGTGCAAGAGTGAGCGCAAACTGAGTAACTTAGAACTAGGACCCGTCTGGACTCAGATCTATTTGCTGGTGCAGGCATGTAATGTGGAGTTCTCTGTCGAGTGTGTGAGGCATGCTGGTATAATCTGATTTACTGACTTCTTGGATATGCTGAGAGTCTTAAAGCTCCTTCAGTTTACCCCATTGTGAAACTAGCCTAGCTTTCTATTGCATTATCTGAGATGAAAACCATCAAGAACGTATGATATGATGCTTTTATATTAGATGCAGGCTCTGTCATGGGTGCAGTTATCCTACAGTGGAAAACAAGTAGGCACTGAGTGTGGTACAAGAGAGCAAACAGAACATCTTCGGAACATTCATCTCAAGTGGGGCTGTCAGGAGAGTCACAGTGGGTTTCAAGAAGTAAGACTGAATGCAAGAATGGGTGCTGGAGGAGAAAAATCATTACATGTACTTTTCAGGAAGATTGACAGGAAAGAAGTCTTTCATTTTGGCCAGCAGTGAGGGATATTCATTCACTTCCAGGAAAAACAACTGTGAGCATACCACCACAATTGTTACCAAATGTTCAACTAAGAAACAGGAACAAGAAAGAAACAGGTGGCTCATGAGTTTTATCAACCATCCAGATATTATGAAAGATAGTACTGGGAGAAAGGGCTGGGCAGGGTACAGGCACTCCCAGTCACAGACTGGTACATTGGCATCATGGTTTGCATATTTAGCCCTATTATTCTGAATCTAACTCTGTCAGTTTGTATTTTTTGTTTACTGACTTAACAAAACACCAAATTTGTCACATTCTATGTATTTTTTTTATGTTATGCGAAGCTTGCATAAATTCTGAACCTTTATAGCACAGTGGTATGGCATTTGCCTTGTGCGTAGTCAGCCAGGCCAAGCCGGGTTGGATTCCTCTGCCCCTCTCGGAGAGCCCGGCAAGCTACTGAGGGTATCTCGCCTGCACGGCAAAGCCTGGCAAGCTACCCATGACGTATTCAATATGCCAAACACAGTAACAACAAGTCTCAAAATGGAGACATTAATGGGCCCGCTCGAGCAAATCGATGAACGACGGGAGGACAGTGTTTTTTTGACAGCATCATATAAGCAGATTAAAACAACTACTTGAACAAAAAGCTATCTACAGAACTTTGGTTAAAATCTTTGCCCATAACAAAAATACAGCAGCAAAAATTTCTTTTGGAAACTGTATGTAGAATATCAAGAATAATGGTTCTGGGATAAAAGAAAATTAAGCAGTATCTGGGCCATCTTTTTTTTTTCTTATTATTTCTGGGTCACACCTGGTAAAGCACAAGGTTTACTCCTGGCTCTGCACTCAGTAATGACTCTGGTGCTCAGAGGATCATATGGGATGCTGGGAATCGAACCTGGGTCAGCCGCGTACAAGGCAAATGCCCTACTCACTGTGCTATTGCCCCAGCCCCTGTGCTATTTTTTAAAAAGTAGTTTGATTTACTATGAAACCTATAACTATCATAGTGCTATTAAAGATCAGCTGTTTTAATAAAGAAACTTTTTCAGAGATATAAAGTGGTTCACTTCTCATCTCTGTTAAATCCAATTGTAATTATCTGAACTTACTATTGATAAAATGTGATCAGGGCTAAGACCTAAGGGCTTTTTAAAAAAATTTATGGCTGATTTCTTGTTATTTTAGGTCAATTATTCAATCTTTCTCCTTGTCATAATGCTCAGACACTATGTTATGCATTCATATTCATCAGTGAACAAAGTAGAAAGCAAAAGTTTAGTCCAGAAAGTAATATAGGCATTAACCAAATATAAATAAGAAACAATTAACTCTTAAGTTATAAAGGGTTTGCAGGAAAAAAACAGAAGAAATGAGACAAAATTACTTAAAAAGAAGAGATGCTAAAATAGAGCTGGAAATAGGGGCTGATAAACTTGGTTAAAATCTTTGAATAATTTCATATTCATATTTGAATATGAAATTATGTATATTACTCAACAATGTCATTTCTTATGTATAAATGTATGACTGATGTGAAAAGGTATCTATTTAAGATGGCCAAGCTATTTTTATGTGTAACTTTGAATTTTTATTTTATTGTATTAAATTATAAGAAAAAAAAGACAGCATCAGACTGATCACAGAAAAACAATAAAATGTTAGTTTTCTTATACACTTCCTTAGAAAGGGCTTTTATTAAGAACACCCTGGAGCAAATTATAGAAAAGATCAGAAAAATAGGGAAGTGGGGATATGATAGTTTTGCACAACATTTTAAATTTTCAATAAAGCAGTAAATGTCTAAATAGGAAAATAACATTATTTGAGGGGGAGTGGGTCACAGAAAAAGATCTAGTGATTTTTCAGAACTTCAAAATTCTTTTATATTCGTTCACTCACTCATGCAAATATATTCATGGCTCATGCTGAGGTTTGAATGATGATTTATTTCCAAACTCATATTCAAAACTGAATTACATTTTAAATTGAGATATCTTTCTACTGAGCATCAAAGCATGGAATCTTTCTACTTCTGTTATTCCTGCCCAAGGCTACTTAGAAAAACTAATAGACTGTGAATGGGGAGAAATTTGTCAACATTTCTACAAATTATTTATTCTTTCTTTAAGACATAGCATTTCTTTCTTTACTAAAGAGCAGTCCTCAGCTTTATTGAAGTGGGACTTTCTATAAAAATTAGAAACAAATGGCATAATATACTGGCTTTAAATTGGTGCCTGTTTACTATACTTAATAAACATAATTTAAATTACTTATTTAAATAACTCACAGGAGAAATGTAGCATTTCTTGTTAATGTGCTAGAGACACATATGAAATTACAAATTAAGAAAGCATTATATTTTAAGCATCTCTGTAGATAACTGGTTTATATAACAATGAGTCTCCTACTTTTGTTATTATTTTAGAAGGATTTTAAATCACAAATTAAAATTTCCTTTATTGAAAAACAAAATAAATCCCCAAACCTTAACCAAACAAAGCTAATGCAAATTTTATTTCCGTACCAATCTCATACTTGCCGCTGCACCGGCTGTGGGAGGTGTCTACACAAAACTATTCTGGAAATGTCGCTTGTGAAACCGATTTAGGTGTATTCAACAAATGTCAAGACAAAGATGCTGCAAGGTGGCAACCATTACTGTCAATTCAGAATTGAAGGAAAACGTTAAGAAAAAGAGTACACAGGGCATATTTTAGAGGAAATATAAGACATGCTTAAGAGAAAAAAATGCTTCAAAGAAGGTCTTTTTGACATGATTCTACTCAGAACGTAGGCTCTATCGCATTTTATCAAGAAAACTTTCATATTTTCAAGGAAGAAAACAAAGCAGGTTAGAGATGAATAACTTTCTGAAAATCAACTAAAAGATGGGCTGAAGTGAGATTCCAGTAAGAAAGGCATGAAGCGAGCAAGAGGCTAGCCCAGGTTAGTTCTCTGGCACCCCAGAGCCTTGGGTGAATGACCCCTGAGTAAGCTCTCCACACCACTAGGCATGGCCCCCAAACCAAAAGACAAACAAAAAAATTCAAAACCAAATAAGTAAATCAAAGAAAAGAATCTTATTAGTCTGGGAGGAAGATAAAAATGGGTCAGAGAGAAAAAAACCTGAATATACCTTATCCAAATATTGACTTAACTTCTTTGATTCAGCCTTCTAATTCAGGGAAACTTAAATTGTGATGCAAGTTACGTTTGTTAGCCTCCATAAAATTAGGGTGAACGTTTTTTAAATTCTTTATAGCATTATTATATAATGAAAGTTTTTTTTAAAAAATGCTAACAAACAAGCCAGCCAGCCATCCCTGCTGCTCCGCAGACACTTTGGAGATGCATGCTTGGGCGGAAACCGGAGATGAAGATGTAGATACAGGCGAAGCCAGGCCTCACACTGTCCCCGGAAATCAGAGCCTCTGATCCTGGACAGTGCTGATCAACACAGGGACCTGGGAGAACTAGGCTGGAAATAATAAAGAAATAACGTCTGCTTCCCCCGCCCCCCCCCCTTTTGTTTTCAAAGAGCAATATTTGAGGAAAAAAAATAGGTTTGGCTGGCAGATACCATGAAAAGAAATGCAGAAATCTGAGGTTTCATGTTAAAATCTTCTATTTTTAAACACTGGCAACTGTAAAAAAGCATAGCAGACCAAACAAAAAAGTGCCTCTTCAGGAGGTGCCTGCTGGCTCCTGTTCTGCAATCTGTAGTCTAGGCGAAAGGTCTCTCCGTGAAGTGAATGCAGCCGCTTGCTCTCCACCCAGTATCTTTCTCAATCTTTCATGTGGCTATTTCTTACTCATCCTCTCAGATCCTGGGAGGACACCTCTCACCCTGTCACCCGCCCTCCTCCCCTCAAGTTGGTCCGCATGCTCCCAGGGCTCTGGTCCCTTATGCTGACACGATCTGCTATCCTGTGGCTCATTCCATCCACATTCTCTTTCCAGTGTCTCAACTCTGTCCATACATACAACCCTTGTTTTCTTCAGGAAGAATCGACTCACCTTTATAGTCTAAAATAACCAACCTAGAAATCTGGATAAAACAAATGTTTATAAACCACGCAAAAAAGAGCTAATACTATCTCCTGACTACTGCTCCTTAGATTTATTTCTTAGTGACTACAATTAAAAAACTAAACTACTGTGACATGATAGTTAACTTTTTCTTCCTGATTTGTTTGTTTTGGGGTCACACCAGCTGTGCTCAGGGCTCACTCCTGGCAGAGCTTTGAGGACCATATGCAGTGCCAGGGACCAAAGGCAGATTGACCTCTAGCACCTTGGGAGTTAACCCTTGATAGTCCCATTTCTTGAGTCTTCGTATACTTTCTGGTACAATAGGACACAAAGAATTAAAGAATCCCTTTAACAGGACTGCTCTCAGGAAATATTTACAATTTATAATGCTTCAAAATAATTATTTTTTTTAATGACAAAGAAAAGATGTTAACTTTTCAAAATTGTAGCAGCCTTCTTGTAATTATTCATACATTGTATTCTTCATACATGTAGCTCACCATGTTGAAGTATTTTATTTAAAAATAACGTTCTAAACATTAGCACTACTCTTTTTCGGTTAGGCCCAAATTTGTTCTTCCTGCCACTTTAAATGGCTGGTGAACACTAAAAAATGAAATTTCTTTACTTATAAAATGTTTCTATTCTTACTACATTTGCAATATACACACCAGGAGATTAATCCTAACAGCCCTGAGAAACCCTGCCCAGCTTTAGTCAGTCTGGTGCATGAGCAGGGGCTGGGGGTGGGGGGCGGGGGGTGGAGATGTATATTCACAGCTTCTCTGTAGTCCACAGAATGTTTACATTTGCTTAAGTGCTTACTGGTAAAACCTTCAGTAAATTTGAAAAATGGGTCCTTTAAATCCCTTTAATACTAAGCTAAATCCTGTCCCTAAGTTAATAATGCCATCTAAACAATCCATTCATTTCATTTCAAAAACCCAATCTTAGTCATTCATTTAAAAACCAGGTATTGGCTGACCCGAATTACAAGAGT